AAACAGAGAGAGATAGTCCTTACAACCCTGAGCGAACACCTCGACCTCTACCAAGGACCAGGGAGGTTCGTATATCCATCGCGTTGAGCGCAATTTTTCTCTTTGAAACACCCGCAACTTAAATATCTTCATTCAACGAACGACTCCATTTGGAACGATGATTCTTGAAGCCTTTCTACACGTCAACTCTGTTCCGTATCCCATATATCTCTTGACAATTTCGGTAGAAAAGTTTCCAGGCACTAAATTCAGAGATCTGCCATAGTCTGATACAAACGCTGTAAATGTTACAATTTGGAAATAAACATCCTTCATAAGAAATTATACTTAACATCACTGCAATAATGAAATTAGATTTAAGACCCTATGGACAACTAATAAGTACCTTATTTTCTCGAATGACTTAAACTCAATGACCAATGTTGATAACTCACAAGTAATATTTAGGAAGAGGTGTTCCCACATACTCGAGCAGCTTATACGTGGATCCTATTGCAAAAACCGTCAAGTAGGTGCCTCTGCAGTCTAACGGAGTAGCGCTGAGAGTTTGCGGGTTGCCGTGTCGCAGGGGCGGTGAAGAGCTCTGGCGCTGTACCGCGCCGGAGAGCTGCTTGCCCCGCCACAAAGCCCTTCTCCGTGGTGTACAAGCGCCACGTGAAGCAGCCGTGCTGGTCTTTCGACGCGCTGTACAACGCCCGTGGACTACCAGACCTTCTACAAGACGCCGCCTACCTCTGCGCACCGCATCAACGCAGCCAGTTCAATCTACCGGCCCTGAAGCGTGGCGCGTTGCTGCACCGCCAGCCACACACGACGTGGTGCTGCCGCCGCCTAGAGATCTACCCCCGAGTTCTTCGTCAACTTCGGAGATCATCCACGAGGGCCACCGAGGAGTACCTGCAGGCAAGGAGCCTGCCCCATCACTATCAACGGCCGCCTACTACACAACAGCAGCGCCTGGTACACACCTACCCGCAGGTTCAAATGTCTTAGGTGTGGCTCTCTGCTGCTCTCGTCTTCTGCCAGCGCCAAAGAGGGATTAAGAATCAGCTTGTATCGCACGTCAAAATTCTCGTTTCATTTGTAGTAGATGAGCCACGATTGCTTGAGATTAATCGATAGAAATTTTAATTTTTGACATGCCCTTATATTACACTTATTATGGTTATTCTTTCAATTTATTGCAGTAACGTTAATTATATGTAATATTTTATGGATAACAAATATTATTTAAAATTAGGTCACACTTTCTACAAAGTAAATTTTTTCTGTTCCTTCAGTAGTATAATAATTTTTATAGTTCCGTAGTACAGTAAAAACCGATTTTTGAAAATTTTAGACGTAATAATTGTGTTTTCATTTTCATATTTTGAATTTAAAATGTAATGCCAGTTGTGATGTCAGTTTTTTGCGAGGCAATAATACTGATTTAACCCCTTATTTTTAATGTTCGTATGATTCATTACATTATTTCGAATTAGATACTCATTGTCTTAATTATTATCTTAGCTTCAAAATATTTGCGCAATAATTTTGTTTCATTCTTGTCAAAAACCTTATGTTCATATTTTTTCGGCATTCTATTTTCTATTTAATTACCCTTCTGTTAACTTTCATTTGCCCATTCTAAAGTTGCGTTTTTTGTATTTCGTATCATTGAGAGTTTAAAAAAGTTCGTTCACACCCTAAAATTCAGTTTTTTATACTCCGAACGTAAAGGAATATTCATTAACCTAAGTGATCGTTAGGTAACTTTTTCTACAATAATATAAGGTAGTTTATAGTTCTTTTCTTATGCTAAATGACCATAAATGACATTGCCGTTCTAGGTGTCCAATCAATGAGCAGCTGTTGAAACTACTTCATTTGAGAGGACATCGGCCTTAGCAACCATTCCACAACCTACTTCAACTACGAGTCCCCGTAGTGGTTCAGCGCCTCCAAGTACGGCGTGCGGCGTGGCGCCGCGCCGCGGAGAGATCTTCTACTACTACCTGCCAGCAAGCTGATTCAACGCACCAGCTGGAGCGACCTGTCCAACGCCTGCCCCTGTCTACCCACTCGACTACGACGTTGCCACAGCAGCCCGCTGTGTGAGCATTCGCCTCATGCAATCTGCGATATCGGATTTCTACCCCATGCGGCATATCTGAAACTCATCTTACGAATTTTCTTTTTGCTTTATTTCCTTATTCGTATATTGTCAACCTAAGGATAGGAACCAAATAATTTGCGTTTGGAAGAAAATATTACAAAGAATTACATTAAAACAACGTAGATTGTTTTCGTTTAAACTGTTACGAGTTTTCGTTTGCATATGTGTAGTCGGAAGTTGGTAAAGAAAATGATTAAGGTGGCAAAATAATATTTTCGCAAAGGAAATTGCACTAATCGGATATCTACTTTCATGGTGTTTATATGAAAAGATGGTCGAATTTTTCCGCTATTTCGGGATTCTCAAAGTACGAAACCGCGGGCAATGCGGTTTTTTTCCTATTAATTTATGAATCATTGGTGGCAATCGGTCGGAAAAGTCTTACTTCGACTTATTCTTCTATTATTGCTATAACTGTAGCACGCTGTGATGACAAAATAAAAGACTTGACACTGCCCGAGAAAAAATTAACGTCCAAAATATAACACAGATATTATATTTTTAATGTGAAATAATGTAGAAGCCTTTTTGATCACAGTACGTGAGGGTTACAAACCTTTAAAGTAATTAACGTAGGAAATATGGATTACTATTTATTTATAAATGCTCTCAGAGAAGATAGGAAAATTCCATATTTCGCGTTAAATGCTAGAGACCAAATTGTAAATTTTCATTGCATTCCCCATTCATGCCTATTTTCATTTTTCGGGGTTTCAGATGTTAAATACGAAATCTTTTCAAACTATTCACTAAATAGAAAAATGACGGTTCCGCTAGTTCAATACGCTCCAATTGTCATTAAGTTTTTAGGCAGGAGTATTCCTTTCACCTTCTTTTTTGTATTTTTCCCGTTTTAGACGATACAGCTAACTTAATCGTTTGGGAGATTTCTCAATTAAATTGAAATACCAACATGTATAACCGAAAAAACCACTGTGCTTGTTTTCTTGTCTGTAGTCGGACCACGCTCTTTATGGTATTCACTGGATGCATTCTGCTGGAATATTTTCTTTCCTATCTTACTCCAACAACAATCGAAACCACACCTATTGAATAGTAGAAGAAAAGATATATCAACCAAAAATATATGTCTTGCTAAAAATAATTGTGGATTACCCAACCGAAAAGTTGAAAATGAATTATTCTTTCCCGTTTTTGTTTTCCAGACGGCTAACGCACCTCAACTGACTTCCACAACGTATCCCTTCCCCTCGCCCCGAAGGGACTCGTCTCAGCGATGTTGACATCTTCGATAATCGAAATGGTGCGCAATTCGAACGCGCCTGCAAGGAACGCCATCGATCTTGGAGTCGCTTTCATGTGATATCCTAGTAACGAATTACGTCAGTGTTAATATTGAAGTCCGTAAATTGATTTTCCCAAATAACTTAAGGAATTTATCGGTTTTAAACAGTTTGGAATTAACGACTTAAAAGGAAGAGGGTTAAAAAACCAAACGTTAAAAAAATTCATTAAAATAGTACTTAACTGTAAAACTAATGTTTGGGTAGATAATATTTTAGGCAACACAATCCCAAAAATAGTCCATTAACACAATACCTCGAGCGCTCTTATAATATCAAAGGTAACTTTGTCTGCAACTTTACAAAGATGTAGAGAAAACATTTGAAAATGTTTTCTGTCTCCACATGGAAAACCCTGGAATTGCCCTTCAAAAGTGAACGGAAAGTTTACGAAACATCAAGTTCATTAAGAAGCACTAACACTCTATTTAAAAACTCACATCGAAAAACTTGAAGCATTGTACTACCACATTTTTATTTCTTAATCCATGCGCGCAGGGGAAAACATCAACAAGGTCGTTCTGGCTGATAACGACGCATCGATATCTTGGGCAACCTCATCAGGTGGCAACGCGGACTCCATCAACCGCAAATACTCGGTTCCTTGTACCTCGGCCTGCGCGCCCTGTTCGGTCACGTGGTGGACCCCTACCACAAGTACAACGTGGCGCCCGGCGTGCTGGAGCACTTCGAGACGGCCCTGCGCGACCCCGCCTACTACCGCATCGTGGCTCGCGTCATCGAGCTCTTCCGCCACTACAAGTCGCTGCTCAAGACGTACACGCGCGAGGAGGTGAGTGCCCCGCCCCCTGCCCCCCGCCCCCCCAGCGCAGGCGGAGGCTAACCAAGGCCGCCCCGTGCCCGCAGCTCACCTTCCCCGGCGTGAAGATCGAGGCCGTGGACGTGGACAAGCTGGTGACGTACGTGGACGACTTCGTGTTCGACCTCAACTCCGCCGTGGAAGGTGCCCCAAGTGGAGGTGGCCAAGAAGCTGGACATCCGCGTGCGCCAGCCGCGCCTCACCACAAGCCCTTCAGCTGCGCGTGTCCGTGGACAGCGACAAGGCCGCTCGCGTGGCCGTGCGCTTCTACCTGGGCCCCAAGTAACAACTACCTGGGCCGCCGCTCTCCGTCGAGGAGCGCCGCCAGTACCCTTCGTCGAATCGACCGCTTCCCCTTCGACCGGAGTGTCCCCCGCGCTCGCCCTCACCCCTCACCCTCGCTCAGCCGCCGCCTAACCGCCACCCGTTTTCGTTGCGCAGTGCCCGCCGGCAAGACGGTGATCGAGCGCAGCTCCCGCGACTCCAGCGCCGTGGTGCCGACCAGACCATCACCCGGGTGCGCTCAAGAAGGTGGAGGACGCCATCGAGGGCCGCGAGCCCTACTACGTGGACTCTGTAAGTGTTGGCCGCGCGTGGCCCGCCCGCGCGCACAGGCGCCCTGCGCTGAGTGACGTGTGCCCTCCCTTGCTCGCAGGCCCACCGCCACTGCGGCTTCCCCGAGCGCCCTGCTGCTGCCCAAGGGCTCTCGCCAGGGCCTGCCCTTGCTCTGTACGTGTCATCACGCCCTACGCGGAGACTCCCTCAACACCCACACCGGCTACATCGCGTGCGGCGCCGGCTTCGGCTACCAGGTGGTGGACAACAAGCCCTACGGCTACCCCTTCGACCGCTCATCAAGAGCGAGGCGGCTTCTTCGTGCCCAAACATCTTCTACAAGGACGTCACCGTCTTCCACAAGAAAGCAGGAGGAGATCAACAAGGCGTGAGCCCCTTCGCCAACAACGCTCGCTGAACGAGCCTCGTCCTCATGGTTCAGCTCCCACCTACGACGAACCGGCTCGCCTCTGGTCATCTGAGTACACTGAGCAACTCCAACAATCGACTGACATACTCGTGCAATAAAGACTGAACTATTATATCATTTCAAGTCTATATCATTTCTTAACGCTCTGCTCTCACCCATCCCTTCATTTCATGCTCTTCCTTCCCTGCAGTGTCCCTGCACTGAAATATATGTAGTCACCCAATTCTGAAGTTTGTCTGGAGGTAATGTAAGCACTCAGTATTCGAATTACGTTATGGGCTGAACTGCTGTAAGGTAATTCGAAATTGTCTAAAAGTTTTGTTTCCACTTATCCGAAATCTTTTCTCTGACATTTCCTTTGATTTTTTAATCTGTTCACGTTAATTAAACCTATCTCTGAAGTTAGTATAAATTAGAGTTGCTTTCGTCCTTTCCAAAATTTTTCCTTATCATTTCATTTTATAAAAAAATTCTCTTTTTTAGAATTTCTTCACACCCTACTTTCCGGTGTCCTTTTTTTTCTTATACTTCCTCTTGTGCTTTTCCTTTTTCCTGAGTTGTAGACTCCATGAAAACTTACTCTAATACCAAACACTCTATTTAGTTTAAAAGGGCTGATCTGCTCCTTTTCTTCCTTAAAACCTCTTTTTTAGAATGTCTTCACCAACCTACTTTCTGCCCCCATTCCCTTTCATGAATTTCCTCTTGTGCTTTTCCCTTTTTCTGAGTTGTAGATTCCATCAAACTGAATTCTAATACTAAACTTCTATTACATGAAGAGTTGATTCTCTCATTTTCTTCTTCTTCTTCTTTTCTAACTTCTCCTTTTCTCTCTTCTTCTTCTCTTTCTTCTTCTTCTCCTTCTTCTTCTACTTCTTCTTCTTCTTCTTCTTCTTCTTCCTCTTCTACTTCTTCTTTTCTAATGTCTCCTTTCCTCTCTTCTTCTCTCCTCTCTTCTTCTTCTTCTCCTTCTTCTTCTTCTTCTTCTTCTTCTTCTCCATCTTCTTCTTCTCCTTCTTCTTCTTCTACTACTTCTTCTTCTTCTTCTTCTTCTCCATCTTCTTCTTCTTCTCCTTCTTCTTCTTCTACTACTTCTTCTTTTCTAACTTCTCCTTTCCTCTCTTCTTCTCTCCTCTTCTCTTCCTTCTTCCTTCTCTTTCCATTTTATTCTCCTCTTCTTGTCCTCTCCTCTCTCTTGTCCCATTCGATACTTTTCCCTAAATTCAATCTACTCAAACTCTTATTTCATAGATGCTTATTTGTTTAATCAAATCTGTATTGTTGAAGAATTCCCATAGTAGCGTCTGTTTTGCGAATGTTTAATTATCATCTATTTTGGTCTTAGTTCTGATATTTTGCTTATCGTTAACGTGGATTCATAAAAATTGTTTTATAATTCTTAAGGAATTAACTTAGGCTTTTATTGAAAGGTAGTTTTTGAATATGAGATTCATTACTTTTTATTTACAAAATTTTTGTTTGCTATTATGAAAGCATTTTAGGATATGATTTTGTGTCCTTGTAGCATTGAATAACTATACAATGTTTTTACATATTTGGGAGTCAAAACATATTAAAATTGAAAGAGAATATTGAAAACTAAATCTTTTTGCCATTTTGCAATATCATTTATTCTGATTATCTGATAAATACAACTAAACTGAGGACTTTTGGCACTGTAAATACTGACAAGTGACAGGCGAAAAAAAGTGCTTAAAATACCAAAATGAGCTTTTAAATAGACTTAAAAATTCTAATGTATGTATTTCAATGGTCACTAAAAATTTATTTTTCTTTACTAATAATGCAATAAGAGTACAGCACAACAAATGTCATTAATAAAAATAATGCTATTTCAATTGTATAATTTTGGCAATTGAATAGTGCTCCATATTGTCCTAAGTAAATACACTACTGTGTGAAATAATGTTATTCAAGTACGCGAAACCGAATCACTCTTATAAATATATGAAAGCAGGCTTCACTGATTCTAGACCCCTTTTCAAGTACTTATACCCACCCACTGATCGTTAAACAGATAAAATTTGTTGATATTTTGTCAGGTAGTTTGCACTCGCTTAGACAAAATTGGTTACCACTTAATTCAATTTTTATTAAATGACAACTGCTTAAATATTGTTAGTTAATGCAAGCAAGATAGAGGCATTTATGGTAAATAGGCGTTTATTAGACAAATAGGCTTTTATGGACCCTATAGAACTTGCATGTAATACTTCCAATACCTCGGAGTAAAAAAATGTTTCGTTAAAGAAATAGGATAGGCACATAGGAAAAAATTCCTAGCTTAGTTATTTCACATGTAGTGTGGCCAATTAATTTTAAAATACTTCTCATTAGATGGTTTTATATGTAGTGCATCAATAACTACTTTACTTTTTTTATTTCTCGAAGATATATCGATTCTGCCTTCTCACGGCTATTTAACAAGCTATTTCCACAAAGTCGATTTTAATTGGTTATTCATTTATCTAGTCAGTTAGTGGGGTGATACCTGTCTACATTACATAGACAATCATAGATGGGTAATAATGAAATAAATAATTTGAAGACAATATAATACAAGTCATATATGGAAACCTGTGCTATTATATCACACAAAAGTAAACATTGTAGAAAAGTAATAATCACCCATCAATATGGAAGACATTAAAAATATTATTACTTTTCATTCTAATTTTCCTCACTTGAGAAATCAAAGAGGTTTTCCAAATTCTAGAACAACACAGTCATTGTTTTTTGTGAACACAGGGTTAAACATCTTTCTGCATATGTTGTTAAAATGTACCTTTACCTAGAATATTTTCGTCGACTTCCTATAACTCAGTGGCGTAACTTTCAGGCCAGCAAAGCTCACAATGCAGGAGCATCCAGGTTAAAAAAGGGCCTGCTATAGTCTGTTAGTAACATTGAATTACGAGTAAACAGAGACTGTTGAATATGAATTTGTTACATTGTATTTTTATTATTTAAAGAACTAACACTATTTGTGTTCGCTATACACTTTTGTGAAAGAGGCCCAGGTAAATGTTTTGCGGGTGGTCCTGCACTAATTTTGTTACGCTACTGCTAGAACTGCGACCATTATTAATAAAATCGGTTGGAAAAACTGGAAATGTCTCATTTTCAGTTTTTCCAAGAATGGCTCTAAATTTTTCAAAGAAAATTTGAATGTAGGTATGAATGTTTTTCCTCTTCTAAAATATTCTTTAAGTCATATTTAAATTTTATTATCAGGTGTCTAAAAAACTGAGAAAATATGAAAAGATGCATTGTATGTGGAGATAGAAAGCAGCTGGAAATAGGGTGGGGAAATATCAAAACACTAGGCCAGACTAAGGAAATTAGAAAAATTAAGAAATTTTCAAAAAAATGTACTTTGGGCGGCAATAGATGGTAGCAGGCCAGATTATGTGGCTAGTTCGAATAGCTAATCGAGACTAAAGAAAATAGGCAATACAGGCAAGTCTGTGCCATTCTGTAGCCCCACTAGTTATATTTGTGACCAAAAGTGCTTCAAATGATTTATAATGAAGGTCCTTAAAAACTCCAAATTTATGTGAAAATGAGATTAAAATGTCTCATTTTCACATTTCCCAAGAATGGCTCTAAATTTTTCAATAAAAATGTGAATGTATGTTGAATGTTTTCCTCTTTTAAAATATTCTTAAAGCCATATTTAAATTTTATTATTAGGTGTCCAAAAAATTGAGAAAACGTGAAAAAAATTATTTTATATGCCGATTGAAAGCAGGTGGGACAGGAATGGAGCAATATTGAAAGGCTCAGCCAGACAAAGGAGATTAAAAAAATAACTAGTGTGAGAAAGTGTGTGCTTATATGTAGCACCACTAATTTTATAATTAAATGCATTTATTGGCAGAAATGCTTCCAACGATCTCTTAATGTAATTTTCCAAAATCTCAAGAACTTGTGTGTGTAAATGTGTTCATAATCATTTTCAGGTACAGTTAACTAGCATATTTTTTAAAATGGCTTCAAATTTCAAGCAAAAAATTTCCCAAAATAGATTCAAAACATTTCTGCTTTGACAATAAATATCGTAAAATGTTATAGAGAAATAGATTTAGTGCTGCTAAGCACATTAGTATCCATGTAAGAAAGAAAAAGTCAATTTTGGTTACGAATTCTGTTTTCGAATATTCTACAAAATAAAC